GAACTCGAGAACCAGATTAGTCTTATTCATGGACAACCTGTTTAGTTCTGATTGTGAACCAGATCAATCTGTTCATTGAAAATAACTAGCTCAATAATGATCTGTTCATGACATTGAACAGATTCAGATCTTAAGTTCAACTCACGATGAACCATTTGCAACGATTCTCAAGTTAACAGCTCACTGAAGGGGGAAGTTATCTGCCATATGACTTCAGAAGACTCAAGGCTCGTGCACACCGGGACGATTATCACGCGCGCTTATCGCCAGCATTTTTCGAGACGTTTTTCGACGCGTCTTGTGTGTTCATACCCAAGCGATTTTCACTGGCGATGAGCCGAGTGAACGTGCAAATTCACTCCCTGACATTAGATGGTGCTTAATGAAAAACAGAAATAGTTTAAGCCAAAAACGGGAAACTTTTTATGCGTTTTGCCTGTTCGTTTACACAACAACGGCGTTTTGGGGACTGAAAACGCATATTTTTTAAAACGTGTTTCAAAGTGCAAGTTTTTGAAAACGCCACTGTTATCGTTTCCGTGTAAACACCCAATACGGGAATCTTTGAAAACGGTGATGTCATACGCTTGCGTAGTACATGTTAGGTATGTAGACATGCACAGTATGTGTTGATTTTAAAGGCAAGTGCAAACAAACATACACAACAATGGTGGAGTATATGGTACAGTTGTTGCTGCTCAAGAGTTGGAGTCAAGTGTGGATTTACTTCACCAATATTACAACCAACAGCAGAGACGCATCATATACAACATATAATCGTCACTTCCCTACAGGTACTGTTTACTAACAAGGTGACAGCGCCAACTACTGGCCTGGCATACGTAAAACAGCATTTTTGGCTGTTTTCGCGGATATGTGTAAATGCAAATTGTTTTAAAAACGTTGTTGTGTATATGTGAAACTTTTTAAAAACGCAAGGGAAAAACTTTTCCGTTTTTGACTACATCGTTGTCGTGTAAACGTAGCCTAACCTAGTCTTAAAAAGTTAGTCATCTAATTTTTTTCTTCAAGACTGGTCATAACTTTTTTTATTCCGTTATGAAAAGGTTGATTAGTCTTATTTGTATTGGAAAATTAAGACTGATTACCCCTTGGCAGCTGCTAGTTGGTCAAACTAGTTCTTAAGACACAGTCTTAACATGGTGGCTAAGTTTATGCAACTGGCCAGGTCCAGTTGCATAAACATCTTAGACTGGTCTTACAAGTTAGTCATCTTTTTTCTTTTTCTTTTTTGTTAATACTGTGTAAGGCTTCTGCGAATATCGCACAAATGAACGATTGAATCTCCGCATTCCACCGGAAAAACTAAAGACTCTCTTCCCCAGCTATCTGCGGTCGTAAAGAAGATCAATGATCAACAAGGCACCTAATTGTCTGGACCTGCTTCCGGTCAAGACCTGGTCCTTATCCCTTAGGGGGATCTGAACTGCTTAAACCTTAACTCAAACTAGGATACAAACTATCTTTGTTTTACGGGCTTTCAGGGACCAGATGTGCAGTGTAACGTTGACCGGCTTCAGCATAAATAAACCAGCTAATAAACAACAGAACAAAGAACATGGTATCTGGAAATGTTCCAGCGACAGACTCACCCGGACCCCATGACCGTTTAATGCATAAATTGCATTCCAAAAAAGGGACGCATCCTTTTACTACTTTCAGAAAAGCGCGCGTTTCTCCTGTCACAGACAAAGGGACACGAAACTTACAACAGACAATTTCAACAGATAATAATTTGTGCGCATAAAAGGGCAACCAGATTCACAAATAATATGTTGTATGTCTTATATATATGCTTGACGTGTTTCATGTAATCGGTGCAAC